GTCGCAAAAATAAGGATCGAGCTGCACAGCCTGGTGAAGGTAGTTCCGCATCCAGTTCCACTACTCAGAATGTTAGTGGGGATTCTTCTACATCAGGATCAACTACAACTCGACGCCCTGTAGATTTGGATACTCCTGAGCCAGAAGTAAATCAAGAGGCTCTTAACCAATTGATGGATATGGGATTTTCACGTGATCACTGTGTGGAAGCATTATTTCATACTTCTAGTGTTGAGCAAGCAACAGAATATCTTTTGACATACCCCTTAACACACAATAGGCCAGCACATGTAAGTAGAGGTTATTTTTAATACAGCTTTAGACTAAGTTAAGTCACAACTTCAATAGTGAGCTCATTGTTAAGCTGACCAGTCATGTCTGACTCATTGTAACCCCATCTATAAATCTCTAGACGATTCTTTCCAATGGGACAGGTGACTTAAGGTGTTTCACAACTGAGAGTTCTTGTACGTAGGGAGTGGGTCGAACTGTGTTGAGTTAGAGTATTCTGCAGAAGGCCTTATGAATGGGGAAAGTATCAATTTTTATTTTCTCCATCTGAATAAATGTACCTTCTCCCAGGCATGAATTGTAATTTAAATAAATCTGTATGAGCCAGTATTGCAGTTTTGAGGTCAATGTGGTGTGTATTTGCTGGGGTGCTGATGCTGATGATGCTGATGATGCTGATGATGCTGATGCTGATGCTGATGCTGATGCTGATGCTGATGCTGATGCTGATGCTGATGCTAATAGTCCTGTGTGTTACCATTTCTGCTGAATGCACATTGTAGCTCCTTTTTAGAAACTGGTGGGACCATTTCTGGCTCAAGTAGCTCTAAGATTTTAATGAATGATGAGGGCTGTGTGAAATAAAGTTGTCATAATTCTAAGTAGAATGTTAGAACAGATTGGAGACCATATATATCATCATCATCATAATCTTCATCTAATCCAAACCCTTTTTAAAATAAGGCTGGAATTTCAGTGTTTAGCAATCTGTTGATCTCAGATCATGATTGTGTTCCAAATGTGAATGACATTTGAGTGGCCATTATCTTTATCACCAAGGCATCTAGCTTTGATGCCCTTTTCCCAGATTTTGCATGGCTTCCTTGCTTCTTTTCTTAATTGACCTCTTACTACTTGAATACGTTTCCTGATGTCACCGAGGAAGAAGTTTCCACCTGAATTTCATGTTGGATTTTTTTTGTTTTGATTAATATCCACACTCCTAGGGTAGTCATGATTGGGCGGTGTCTTGCTCCTTGTTGTTGCTCCTGCGTTTGCGACTTGTAACTTTCCAGGGGACGTCTTAAGTGTGTGACTCTTTTCTTATGGGGTGCTTAGCCAATTGAGGGTGGGGGACTTCTCCTTGAGCCGCATGCACCTCAATGAAACTGGTGCATATTACATGGCTAACCTCTTGAGCTCACCATGCACATGCGGCTAAGCTTGATGAACTCAAGAATCGAGACTTCGATCTTCTTAGGTGGTGTAGAGTTGTCATGCCATTCACTTTGACATTGAGGGTTTTTATGTGACCACTTGTCATAAAAGCAAGTTGGTCAGAATAATGGGAACATTTGAAGTTGATGTTGGGAACCTTTAGATGTATAATAAGTGGGAAGAAGCTGCCACACTGTCGTGTAGTAACGGACATTTAGTTGCAATGGAATGGTGCATAGCATGCGGTCACTGTGAATGCGTATTACCGACAGATGACAGTGTGAGCTACACAAAGTATGTTTCCACATCACTGAGAGATCACGCCCCATGGTCAAGTTTCTTCTGCATGCGCAATCTAAACGTGAATTTATCTTTGAAAAAATCATGGTGGTCGTGTATTATCTGTACGTACTCCAGAAAACATGGAGGCTGTGCAAGCTGGTAAGGAGTCATAGTGTGGTGTGAAAACTTGCCTCGCCATTGAGACTTTGACATCGTAGAGTGCAAAGAATAATCTATGACCTTCAATTTCATCTTCATATACTGATTGTTCAATAACTAAAATCTAATGGTTCTGTATTGTCCCTACAATTTTGTGAAAACATGTTGGCTAAAATAGTTGAGGAATCTAACTTAATTGAATATCATTGGATGTCACATGAAGCCCAGTTTCACCAGACTGGATACATGAATAAGCAAAACATGCGTTACTGGACACAAACGAATTCTGCTGAGCTTCACCAACACAGAGCTAATGTTATCCTATGGTGAGCAATGTTGTGTCAGGGTGAGATAGGCCCACACTTCTTTGAAGATAAAATGGGCTCCTTTGTCACAATGACATCTCACCATTACGTCAACATGCTAGAGATGTTTTTGTTTCCGAAGCTACATTCTGTTCCAAATCTTGATATGTAACTCACTTGGATTCAACAGGATGGAACCACCCCACTTATTGATGGGCATTCTATGGCAGCAGTGAGATGTTTGTTTGAGGATCACATAGTTTCAAGGAATGCTAACATTGCTTGGCTGCTCCTGTCTCCAGTCCTCTGTTTGCGATTAACTTTTTGGCAACAATACTGGTGTTTGGTGATTTTGACTCTTCCAAGTTTTCTAATGATATCTCTAAATTATCATCTGATTTTAAGCTGTAAATAATTTTAAATTAAGCAATTTTTTAAAACTTTCTTCTATATAATCATGTTGAGAATTGTAGTGGTAATTTATTTGACCTCGTTTTTTCAAACTTTCTCTGAATGGTTCTTGAAGAGATTGATTCTATTTTTAAAATCAATCCATTCCATCCACCTCTTTGAATTGATTTTCTTGTATTTCTAAAAATTCTTTTTTTCTTTAGTTTTAATTCAGGCCATTTAAATTAGCCTACAGCCACATAGCCAATTTTAATTTTTTTAAAACTCCAATCGACAATGTTAATTAGTTTAGTTTTATGGATAGAGATGGTAATTATTCAGTTAATAAGATATGTGATATTGTTAATGTTAAACCTGGAATGGAATTATGGAAGGAAAAATGGAATTATTAAAGATAAAGTTACTAGTGGCTGTGAGTAAACCTCCGAATACCCAAGTACTTGTAAAATATTATTAAACCTTTGAACACAGAGAATAAGTTTATATTTAATGAAGGTATCAAGACAACATTATTGTTAATCTGTTCAGATCACTTTCAACTAAAAAGAATAAATTTAGTGGCATTCCTTTGTATCTAACTTATGTTGATATTGGTAACTCAGACACAGCTACTAATATCGTAAACTTTGAATATTACTTTTCTTTATCATTTTCAATTCCCAGCACTCGTGGTTAATTACATGAGACTTTTAAAACCTGTTTTCTTGAAAATGTGGAATCTACCAACATTGCTGTGGTAAAGCATAAAAAGGAACATATGCCATGAACTAACATTTGGTTTAGATGGGGTGCCAGCAATGCTTTTGAAGGAATGATACAATGAACTTTCATTACCTGATCATTTTTAACTAAAGTTGTATCACAGGCACGTGCCCTGAGATTTGGAAAGAAGCTTACGTATGTTGAGTTTTTAAAAAGGGTAATAGGGCTGTAAATAAAAATTATATACCGATATCTATGTGATCAAACTTTTCTAAGATCTTGGAGTATTGTATTTATCATTTATTGTACTCAGCCTTTCTACCTATTATTTCTGAATGTCAACATAGTTGTTTAAAGTCTTGGTCTACTATAACTTATTTTACTTTCATTCTCGCAACTTATCATGAATCATTTGAATAATTTTGTTCACGTGGATGTCATCTACACCGACTTCCTCAAAGCATTTTCTATCCTTTGTCTTGTGGTTATCATGAATAAATTACAATATTTAGATTTATCGTCTTATATTTGGTGTTTGGTGGAGTCGTATTTCGAAAGGTGTGTAAATGTGTGAAAGTGAACTATACAGGCTATGACTACTATGAAGCCTTTCTCCCCTGCCTCTGATATTCAAGGTTCAAATTTAAGACTTTTGCTTGTGGCTGTTGTAGTAAATGATATACGAAATAAGTTATATTCCAAGACTTAATGCTTTTTCTACCCACATATTCTGCTGAGGACAGCAAAATGTGGATTTGTTTGTAGAATTGTGTGAGAAAAATAGTTTTATGTTAAATCCTCAGCAAATGCCAAATTATGTCCTATTATAGAAGTTTGAGAGTTGATAATTCTTATAATATCACAATTGCTGAGCTCGAGAAGGTGCAAATTATGAAAGACTTAGGAGTAATCTTTGAAAGGCAGCTTAAATTTAAATCGCATTTAGAATAGGTTGTTAATAATGCAAATAAATCACTTGGGTACTTGATGAGAATGGGAAGAAAATTTAGATCACTTCAAATTTTGCGTGTTTTTTACTTCTCCATGGTACACACGAAGGTAGTGTATGTGTGTCCATTGTCTGGGCATCAGATATAATTGATTTGTGTGTGACGCTTAGAAAAGTGTCAAAGGCACTTTGCCAAGTATTTAGAATTGAAATCTCGGAGAGGAATCGGTGACTTTTATTATTTAATTTTGATTTAAGTAGCTTAGAAAAAGAAGAAATTTCCAGCACTTTCTTTTTTGCTTTATAATTCTCTGGGTATTACACAAACTATTTAATTTTGTTATTGATTCCTCAATTTCACCTACATAATACAAAACAATTTTATATTCCGCCTGTCAAAAGTAGTATGCCATTGAGGCCTAGATTATCTGCACTGAGGAAACTGACTAATGGTTTTGTTAGTAGATAAATTGGTAGGTAAGTAGGTGCTTAAGTAAATAAGTAAATGTGGCCTTGAAATTACTTCATATTCATCTTCAATTTTCCTTCTATCAGCTATCTGCAAATTGTTTTTTCTCCACTTCTATCATCTTCTGGACGTTTCCTTTCTCACTTTTCTTAGTGCTCAAGTATGAAGGCTGTTGTTCATAGTTCTTAATAGCCACAGCAAAAATTTCAGAAAAACTGTGCATTAATCACTCAATGATACCTGAAGGCAAAGGAATTTCTAAATAGCAAAAACACTTACCGTGAGTATATTTTGTTCCCTTTCAAGCCCTTTTTAGAGTGAGAGGACGAAAATACTAAATTGACCATGTTGTGCAGCGCTATTGCAAATTAATGTGCTATGAAATATCGTGAGTAATGTGTTGTCATTTTAGCAAGGATCATTCTCAAAAGATCCTCCATCCCATTCATGCGTCAATTTGTACCTTCTGCTATAGGATGGTTCACTGTATTAAAAGTTTTATTCCATCAATCATATTTCTAGTGCTTTTTGAAAGTTTTCGTGAATCTGCATGAATCTAATGTAGAAGATTAGTATCTAAAGTACTCCATGGTCTGCATAGCTGTGTAATTGATTTAAATGTAAAGGTCTTATGAAAACTATCCTTAACTTGTGTATGCACGATCTGAACTGACCCATCAGTATTTGAACATATCTCATCATCTGTGTAGTAAAAGAACAAATTTCGGAGAGCCATGCAGTTTTCATTGATGTTGAACTGTGTTTAAACCTGTCAAAAATGTTGTCCACTAGCCTGATCAATGCCAAACTGCCATTTCTATTAAAATTAATTATAAATGCTTGAAGGTCAGATATTAAGGGGAGGATTGTATTTTGGATTTGGTTAATTCATTTGTTTGTTTTACTATTTTATTATTATTGTTCTTGTTGTTGTTGTTGTTTTCTTCTTCTTCTTCTTCTAATTATTATTATTATTATTATTATTATTATTATTATTATTATTATTATTATTTGTTGTAGCATTCTTCCATGGATGTTGATCTCACAGAGGAAGACCAGATGTCAAGAGCTATATCCTTGTCACTGGGAGAGAAAATATCCTCTGACTCTGAAAATAAAGACACTCAAAAACAGTCTTTGGTAAAAAGAGTACATATTATGGATATTATTTGTAAATGTTAGTTTTTAGGTATAAAAAATAATTTATTAATTTTTAGGAACCGGGCATGGAACTAGATGAAAGCCTTCTTATCGACAAATTTACAGAACATGTGTTAAAAGACTGTCTTCAGTTAATGGATGAAATTCCTGATACAGTCTTCCGTGCATGTGAACTATTAGTTGCAGTTGCCAAGCGAAATGGAAAAGCTTGGTGCCTTGAAATGTTAAATGATCTTACATTTGAGGTGGGATATTTGCTCTTTCTTTGTTTCCTAAGGACTTTTCTTATATCTAATACTTATTTTTCTTTTTGTTTTAATAAAAAAAAATTTGATTTAAGATTGCTACCAGAATATACTACATGATTGGCATCATGGAGTCGCCAAGAGTAAAACCATCGGAAGTTGTGACTGAACTGGTAGAGTCAGATGCTGCTATTAAGGCTGCTGTTCGAATTCATCTGTTTACATTGTTATTTGAGGTGAACATTTACTTTTACTTTCGATATACTCAATTTAATGTTTGTAATTTGTATGAAAGAAAATGTCTTCTTAGTTCTAATGGTGACATAATGTTAATGTGACAATAAGGGTATACAGTGAAATGTTACCTGATGTAACAAATATTTCAGTTTTATGAAATTATTTTCAGATCCCCAAGTCTTTACCCATGTAAATGTACCTATGTGTAAATTAATTTTAATAAAATTAGAAATTTCAAAATAACAAATTAAAGTTTCTCTGATATACTTGTATTTAACTTCATTTTTTAAATATAATTGAAATGCATTGAGTTTGTGATTGCACAAGCTTGTGCATCTTCCGATGCAAGAAGTTGGGTTGAAGTGCAAATTTTATAATTGTCTGATGAATGTTTCAATTTTGCATCTTGATCACATTGTTAATTTTCATTTGATAACTGTTGAAGATAACTCTTCAGTAAGATAGGGTGAAAAAGAACAATTTGAAAAATTGGAATCAACATTTTGCAGAAATTTTGTTATAAACCTCTTATTGAAATGACTGTATAATTATTTCATGTTCTTCAGGTCTGATAAATATTCAGCTTTTTTCTTTGTAAATTACCATCGAAGTAATTTAGATCCTGTAGTGGATATTATGTATTATGTTTTTATGAAGTAGCTTACTTCACTATGTAAAATTAATTTCTGAGGTCCCCACAATTTTGTTATACTGTTCCTGTATTATTAAATTGGTAATTTTTCCTAATTTAAATTGGTTCATGTAATTTTGTTCCTATATTATTAAATTGGAATTTTTCCTGTATTATTACTTGGAACATTTATTTTTATTTAGACTTGAGTTGTCTAGTTGCAAAACTGCCCATCTCCAAGTAGTCAAAATTTTCAGGAGAGAAAAAACTTTTTACAACCAAAGCGATTTTGATTACTGTAAGCATTTGTAAACATTAGTAGTAGCATGAGTAAATGCAAAGGAATAGTGGTTTGATAGTGTAATTATTTGAAACATTTCATTTTAACTTTTCATAGGATCGACAAAGGAACAGAAGCACCCTGAGAGAATGAAGTTGTTTCAGTGTTGGAATAAAAATAAGATTTATAATAATGTTACATTATATGAATAGTCAAGTAACTAGTACATAACTGGAAGTATCTCTCCCAAGGTGGGAAACTTTTTCCAAACTAAGTAATAATACCATGAAGCATATTCACTCTTAATTTCTTTTTTTCTGATCCTTTTCTTACCAATATTGTTTATGCAAGATGAAATGTAAAGATGATCTGAGAGATGAATGTAAAGTGTTAGGAAAAACCTATTGAATCTGCTTAATATTTTGAGGTGCACTTCTGGCCTAATGGGAAGTACTATCATTGTTGTAAATTGCACATACATGCAGATAGTAATATTTGCAACTGAGATTGATTGTCTTAGTGCAATATGGTAGTTTTGTCTAGGGTAGTTTTTACAATGTAACACATTGACGATATATGTGATAGAAGAAGGGTAACAAATATTCAAAAAGTCAATTTTTATGTCTGGATTCACAATTTTTCATGAAATGGCTGGTTTAGCAATTATAAGACTCTCATGAAATTTTATAAACATAGTAAAGCAGGAAGTTTTGCTATGTCTTTTAAGAAAGCAATTTTCCGGTTGAAGGAACTCAAAATAAAGAAGGGGAGAAATTAAGGAAATTTTTAACCAAGTACAAGAAATTTCTCAAGAAGTATTGAATACAAATTGTCTATTTCGTTAGTATTTATTTCACTAGTTGTGAATGAGAAAATGTGGGGAAAATTTATGTTGTGTTCTAAATTTATCTTATCATTGGCAATACAATACATCATTGAATAAGTTGGCAGTGAAAGTTGAATATATTATTAGTCAGAAGAGCTGAAAATTGTTCTTGGATATATCTGAAACCACTTTTACAAAGATCATGCTTGAAAGTTTTCAAAAAGTGAAGATGTATTGTGAGAAATAATGAGACTGTTTTCATGTTTGGCCTTGCTGAGAGTGTGAAACATTTTAAATTCAGAAATTACAAATTAGTTTAATATGAGAGATAATTTGGCTTATTTTTCATAAGCGTCAAGAAATATAAAATTCATATGTATTGTAATAGGGTGTATGAAAAGTAGTTTTAAGTTGTGAAAATGAACAATTTTCCCTTCGATTCATTTTAATTTTTGTTTGGCTATGTACTACATTTATTTTCCTGAGAAGATGAAAAGACGGGTGTTGAGGACTCATTGCTGTTTACTGCTAAATGTTGTCTTACTTTGTTTCTGTTCCGAAGCCTTGGTTACAGGGTCCTCAAGAAATGAGACTTGCATGTATTGAAGTAGTGGCTCAAACATGCATTAATGAAGGATGCAGCCAATTGCTAATTAAAGCCCAGAAAGTTCTAGCAGCTCATGGGCAACCTGTTACTCCTAAATGGATGGCACCATTGATTTTGCTAATAGATCTATTTGAAAAAGTTGCAGTTATTACTCACAGGAAAAATGAAATGTTAAAGGCAAGTACTGGAAGTAACTTTTTCTTTGTTACTTGGGTCTCATAGTGTGTGCCACGTTCCTTTTGCCCAAACACTGGTAAATGGCTTTATTTGAACTGCAAGCATTTAAGGTGATAGTGGCATTTTCAATATTAATATGTTCCATAATATGTAAATTTACTCACTTCAAAAGTAAACAGTTTTTACAAAATAAAGGCTGTAAAAGGTCATTAGAAATTTTTGAATTACTAAACAACTTTTTTAAAAGAATCCAGAAAAATTCATTTAACATTGAAGCAACTTTTAAAGTAGTACTTCTCTTTTTTTAAGAGATGGTCTATTGGTGCCCTGCATAACTGAAGCTCCTTAATACTTCTGTAGTGTGTAAATTATACTCACAGACCTAAAGACATTCACTTACTTTAAGAAAAAATACAAAAACACAGTGACTACATGTATATTTAGATTCAGAATAAATATTATTCTGCTAGAAGGTAGAATTTTAACACATCATGATAGGGAAAAATATATGCTAGTGAGTAAATTTTACTCATCAATAGTATTGTACGGTTAAGAAACTAGTTTTGTGGGGGAGGGGGAGGATTGAAAAATAACCCAAAAAAAGTCATTGTATTAAAAAATGAGGTAATATAAGGTAAAAGTAAAATGAGGTATATAAATTTCAACTTTGCTTTACATCGGTACCTTCTTGAGTGTAGAGATAATTCCTTTAACTTTAAAAGTTAAGAAAACTAGTTGCTCATCCAGAGCTAAAAAAAAATAGGGTGAGTAGGTAAAAAAAAGTTGAAAAAGCATTGAAAATAATTGATATCCTGACTACAAAAAGAATCGGGACTGTTATACCATTCAATTTCCATCATTCACAGAAACCCATCACACATTGGGAGAACCAAGGCAGAAAATAGTCTTAGCTTGGTGTCCTCCAAAATTATAAATTAACATTATTAAACTAATTGGATGAATACCAATTTCTTTTCATTTGGTTTTGATTACCTCCATTACGAAATGACTTGAGACTTTTTTTTTTTTTTTCTATCTCATAGGTTACAAATAATGTCTGGAGATGGTTTGATCTTACATCTGGCAAATGGACAGCTTATTCTGTTTCGAACAACAAGATAATTAATGAAGCCTATTGGAATGGGGAAAGTGCAGTGCGACTAAATTGTGGACGGAGAAGATATGTTATTCACTTCAATTATATGATACAGGTTTGTTATATTTATGTTTTTAAAGAGTACATTAAAAAATTTAAGTTTTTAAAAACTAGATAAAATAAATTTCTAAAACTAATTGCAAATTTCATTACGAAGCTTTAACTGTAAGTAATGCATAACCAAAATAAATTCCTTTAGACTAATGAAGAAAGTGGAAGTCGCCGTCCAGTGACTATGTCATTAGTTTGTCGTGAGAAAACGGAAGGCAAGGATTATCCTCCAAGATCAGAAAAAAAAGATGACAAAGAACCTGACAAAATGGACACTGATGCGAGTGAAGAAGACGAACAGAGAAAGAAATTCAAGAAAATGAATAGTGTAGCCAGAGATGTTCAAGAAGCATTAGTCAGGTATGTACTCAGTCTAAATATATTCTTAATTTAATATGAAAGGAATGGAGGCAAAATCTCCCTATACTAGGATTTATTTAACTGTGCACTTAACATAAATCAGCTGTTCATGGTTTCATCCAATCGGGAGAATGAACGTCCCCATAGTGACCTCACTGTAGCGACATATAAGCTCCCGATTAAATGACACCGCAACTGCTGATATGTGCATGACTAAATAAATTGTACTATACCTTTACTTTTCTACTTTCATAAAATCAAAGAGAAGTTATTTTATCCATCTTACATGCTTTTGCCCTTAATTGCATGTCACCTTTACTTTGTTATGACCCTCTTTTTCACTGGCCTTCACTGTATGCTGAACATTTCGTCATGTTTGCCATTCCCTCATGGTGATATCTGATGAAGGGAATGGGTTGCTGTAAGTTGAAGGGTCTGTTCAAGTATTTGTCTTTTGAACACTGGAGTCTGGGAGGTAGATTATTATTCCTCTCTCTCTCTTTTGTTGTTGTTGTTGTCGTTGTATAAATCCTGGTGACTGTAAGACGGAGGTTCTGCATACCTCTTTAAAATTTGTACATGTTTCAGGCAAAATTACTCAATTTTTGAAAAATTGATAATCACTGTATTTAAAAATGTTTTTGTTGAACCGGTTTCATTGAGGGGAAAAAATGTTTTCATTATTGTAGTTGTAAGAATGTGCTGAAAAAACTGTTGAACTTGTGTATTTTTCAAAAAAATTCAGGGAGTTAAACAAAAATCCAACGACACCATTTCTTTAAACGTCTTTTGCTCTATCAGAACAAAAAATTTAAAGAAAACATTTGAAGCTATTCTGAGAGTTTTGAAATCTTGTTGAGGCTTTATGTAAAGTACCCGCATAAATCATCATATCCATTTCAAATTCAAGAAGCTGCGACATCAGTTGAATCATTTGGGAAATATCAATTTTGAAAATCCTGCAAACCTGCATTGCATACAGTGGCAAAACAAAAATTTTAAATGGAGTAGGATAAAGGACTGTGTAAGCTCCTGGGCTAAGTTCTGCTTGGTCCGCGTGTCCTGAAGAAATAGTGGACATTCGTTTGCCTATTGATCATTGCCACTTTTTGCTTACTACCTTCTAGTTAGTGAATCACTTCATTTGGTATACCTACGAGATGAATCATGCTGTCTCCTGTATGCTCCATTACGAATATTGAGTTGTCGAAGGCACTATTTAGCTTCCTTTCTAAACAGTCCAGTCACATTGTGACCACTGCCTGCGCTCGACGTAAACGTGTAATAACCTTTCACAAAAGACTGTGGCAGCACTAACGGTGGAGGGGGTACATAAAGGGGTGCTTGGGTGGAAGCGGAAAGCAGTGCAGTGGTTGTCGCAATGCAGAAACTGCAGAACAAAACAGAAACAATGCAGAACAGAAAGCAAATTAATGGACGTCGAAAAGCGTGTGATCATTGGCTTTCAGTCCAAGGAGGGAAATTTTTCTGAAACGGCCAAGTTTGTAGCGGTCCCCGTGCTACCATGATTAAAGTAAACCGTGCATGTCAAATTGTGATCTCTAAACCAGCACCGAGGCAACTGTGGCGCACCACGCGCCATAGATGACGAAGATTTGTACTGGCGGACAGACGTGCAACTGTAGAGCAGCTGACCATCCTGACGGACCAAGGGGCTCCCAACAGGGTCTCCTCAACAACCGTTCAGCGAATGTTGCTGCCTATGGGGGCCTCCTCTTAGGCGCCTGGTCCATGCACCCATGCTGACAGCTTTTCACTGTCGTCTGAACGTCTGAGTGGCCACAGGTGGCCTTGTCAGATGAATCGCTTTTTTTCTGCTCTATCAGACACATGGTCATTGGCATATACCACGTGAAACATCTGATCACAAACATCCTGTAACAATCGCTGGATGGGGCCAGGCCAGAGGTAGAGTGATGGTGTGGGAAATGTCATGGCATTCCGTGGGTGATCTCGTCAATCTGGAAGGCACAGTGGAGAAGAATGCAGCCTCCTTTGGGGGATCTGGACCAGCCCTATATGCAAATCGTTTTATCTCTGCTAAACGGAATCTACCAGCAGGACAATGCAACGTGTCATACAGCTTGTAGTGAACGTGCGAGGTTCAAAGAGCAGCAGGTTGAGTTTCCAGTACTCCCCTGATCACCAGACTCCAATTTAAACCAAAAGATCGCGAATTTGTGAGACCATCTCGATGAGGCTGTTCGTCCCATGGATCCACAACCAAGGTACTTTGCGCAGCTGGCCTCAGCACTGTAGTCGGTATCATCCAGAACCTCTTCTGAATTGACTCTTCTGCACATCTCGCAACGGTCGACGGTGCAAGAGGTTATTCAGGATTTTGACGATTGGTCATTTTAGAGTGACTGGATTGCGTAAAAGAAGTACTTGGTAATGAGTACTCTGTTACTAATTCAGGCCTGTACAACTCAGTTTCTCAACGAGCTGCGGTGAGCGCCCAGCCAGCCTACAATTTGGCCTGCGGACTATCATTTTCCGGGATGTAGCTTGAGGCTACTCCGCGGTGGGGGAAAGGACTTAGGGTGGATTGGATATCACAGGGGGGTTGGAAGCCCAGATCGAACGGCACATGACTCATCAGGGGCAACGCGTGTTATCTTTTGATTTCTGACCTTCGAGGATGTTGAAAACGACAATGTATGCTAATATGCAAGGTGTCGTGTTTTTAAACCACGTATAATGACATTATTGCAAATTCTTTTGCAGTGGCCATTGTAAAAAGTTCAGGTCGCCATTGCCACATGAAGTTGCATATTTGGAGACCAGTAAATCTGTAAACAATATGCAAAATCTTTGAAAGTGCTTCAAGAAATGTTGAAATAAAAAAATGAATAAAGACTTAATGAAAAATATTATATAGTATAAAACTCACATACATCAAAAAATAGAATGTAAAACCACTTTTTCGTTGTGTAGTGGTTAGGAACAAACAAAAAATGTTAATTTGAATTCATAATTCCGGGTTACTTCGCCGCTGTCCTTGATGAAAAGTGCTTGAAATACGAATGAAATTAGTATGTTTTTTGTTCAGACGTAAATTGATATTAAAAGGTTTATATGTTTAAATACATTACTCGAAAACGTTTGGTGCGCCCAATTCGGAGTTTTCCCACACAGGGTACATGTAATCGGTCTGCGGGGCACAAAGTATTTGCCAATCCGTTTAGAAGGTCACTCGTATACCCTTTCGTCTCAAAGTTCTGCCCACGCCTTCACCATCATGAGCGTTAATTTTCCCGTGATAATTCCCCTCTTAAGGTGCGTCAAGCCACGTCAGCACAACAGAATGAAACATCTCAAATGATTCATTGCTGTTTAATAGCTAATTAATCCTTCAATAATATTCGATGTATATAAACTTCAGTATTCAGAAATAATTATAAAATGTTAGCAAATGCTCTATAACAGTTTTGGAAAAATTGAGTAAAATAGAAAATTCACACATTAAATAATTAACAAATATTTTTGTCATTCGTACCATATATTTATGAATAGGAGCGTAAAGTTAATATTGCTTTTTCTGTAACATTAAGGGCCTTTGACATTTCAAACATGCTTTTTAAGCGTGTAACAGCAAATTAAACCTGCACGGATCTGATGAACTAATGTCATAGGGCCAATAAAAGAAGGGGCATGTGGTTGACCATCAGATCGCTTTGGCGAACGCCTTCCCACGTCCTTCCTGAAAAAGTTCCTTTTGGAAGGGATAGCACAAATACCTTCTCAGGAAAGCTGGGAATTAGATGTAGAAAGAATATACAAATTTATCAATTATACAGACGTCCAGAAGGAAGTTATATTTTTCGCACTTTCCTATCGAATTAAACAAAACTATTGTTTTTAGAAACATAATTTGTAGTATGTACTGTGTATTTTTATTCCACTGAAAAAAGTAGCAGAGTTACAAAATGAGTTTGATATATACCAATCATTTTTGATTTATAGGATTGTTTTTAAAGGGAAGTTTCAAGGGACAGAAAAAAGTATTTGATTTATAGAGAATGTTGATATATGAAGATCAGACTATATCTTTGCTATCTACGTAGATAATTCACATTACTCATTTCTTTTTGCTTTACAAATTGATTTATTCGAAACTGTGTAAGATCTTTTGGAGAAAATTAAAAAAGTAATGGATTTCAATTCATTGATATCGTGTTGGAAGTAAATACTCTATTTCTTTGCCACATGCTGTGTTTGTTCTACAGAAAGTGTGTCAATAAAGGAAAGTACCTGCCATTCGTAAGATTTGCTTTTGCTTTTTCATCCCTTTCTTGTATGTTTTCTGCAGAGTTTGATTTGAGATTTCATCTCAGATAACACTAACAATAAGGAAAATTGAGTGGATATAAATTGTTCGTTTGATGTTGCAGAGCTTGTGTGGGAATCCTGGCCCTCCCAGCCAACACGGATACTCTTCATGCAGCTATGAGACTTTGTCTCAGACTCTCTAGAGGGTACGAAAATGCGAGAACTTTTGCAAAATTAGGAGGAGTTGGTTATCTCCTAAACTTGACAAAAGCATCATCTTTTGGAGGCTTTCAAGAATTAGCAACAATGTTGATACGCCATGCAATTGAAGAACCTGTGACTCTACGTCATGCAATGGAAAAGGTAATGTTCTTTATTGTTTGTTCTTTCATTGTTTGGTAGAAAAAATAAAAGAAATTAAAGAAAGCAATTAAAATGAAAGTAGATGTTGAGAAAAACTGAATGAAGGAGGGAAAAGTGAAAAGGAGTTTTGTAGAGTGGGGAGGATGAGAGTAAATGAGACACATGTGACTAGAAAATAATGGTACTCTAATGTTAAAAAGGAATAGGAGAGAGGGCAGATATAAGGGCATAGGGCTATGAAGACAAGTAAACAAAGTGTTAAAAGAAAAGATGTATGCTAGTCATGTGTGGAATGCTGATAATCTGTATACTTGTCTGAAATGTAATCACAGGGAAGTATTAAATGATTTGTTTCACTTTTCTGTGCATTACGTCATGTGTAAATGTAAATTTCAGTTTCTTACCAATTTGTCTATAATGAAAGTTATTTTTAGTTATCGGTATGAAGTATTATTCTATAAAATTATAAAAGTTAATTGCACAGAATAAATTCTGTAATTAGTGTTCTCACTCTTGCAAGGCTTGTTGACTAATAACTTCATGGCTCATGAACGGTGCTATTTAAGGTGAATTATATTCTGTGTCTCATTTGCACCACTATTATATGAAAACATGACATATACTAGATAGTTTTTTTTCCTTTAGTAGGGTATCTGTGCATTTGTTTTGAAGCTTTTTCTTTCTCTTTCTTTCTTTCTTTTTCTTTCTTTCTTTCTTTCTTTCTTTCTTTCTTTCTTTCTTTCTTTCTTTCCTTCTTTCCTTCTTTCTTTCTTTCTTTCTTTCTTTCTTTCTTTCCTTCTTTCTTTCTTTCTTTCCTTCTTTCTTTCATGTGATGAAAGACAGTTTTCAGTGAATCAATGTCATTTTGTATTTTATTCTGTCTAAATTATTTATGTGAATTTTCTATTCATCTTAGTTTCTTCATAAGATATGGGTCCACTGTTGGAAACTAAGGTAAAGCATGCTTTCTTGTAGGATCAGGAATATCAGAGTTCTCAAGTTTTCAAATTCATAGGCTGAATATTTCAAAATTTTTCTTTTTCAATTTGCTAAATGAGCAGAGACTAGGCTTTTTCCTTTTATTTACTACATTTTGTTACATTTTAATTATTTATGGGATATTCAGACAGCACCATTATGGAAGATCCGTATTATGAAATTATATATAAAGTTCACATGCATCTTCACTCTTCAGTATGTGTGTAGAATAAAATATTTTGTATTCAAAGGGAAAATGTTCTAACTGCTAAAAGGGATGTGTCCATAGGACAGTTCTGAAATTATTTTTCAACTTTTCGTCCAATATGTATGTATTTAAAAGTGCATGTTTACTTGGAAGAAAAGCATGCTATTAAACCTGAACTATCAGATTTATTTTTATTGTGAAGACTAGAGAATTTTCATTGTTCTCATTGTTTTCTTGTATACTTTTGAGAGTTGTGGTTTTTTTCACAAAGTTAGTTATAGAGTTAATTTTGAAATTTTGTTGCAGGTCATTCGATCAAGGACTTTGCCAAATATTCCTCCACCATACAAAGAAATCCTTTATCTTATGAGGAACACTTCCTCCTGTGTGTGTCGTGATCCTAATGCATACTTGGAAGTAGCCTGTGATATTCTGCGGTGTGACCTCAATTTGTTGCCAAAGAGAAGTAAGTGTTCTTGAAATCATTTCATATGTTCATATATGAAACTTCTGTGACAAGTTTAATGCAATCTTGGCTGTCTGGGAGATGTAACATCCCACATTTTGACTATTCAATTGTTACCTTCACCTGGGCGAATGCATCGTTGTGTGATGACGGCTAAAATGTTGGTTACATGGCCTGGAATACAGCATTTTCTTGACTGCGGAGAGTTTATTAATTCATCTTGGTTTTTTTAATCTTGTCATGGCAGTTTGAACCACAGTACCAGGCTTGCTCACACAGAAGCACACTTGTGCTCCTTGCGGGTGCAGCCTTGCATTCAAGGCAAGAGCACATGCTCACGCTCATGGCACTCGTACACCTGCAAAGAAACGGTGAAGAAAGTGATGCTGGTACCATTTTTGGTGCACTCTGTATTTTTGAAAATTGGAAAAAACTTCTAAGTAATAAATTTGAAATTCCCATGCTTTGTTTGAGGCACTGTCACTTTGCAAATTGGCGGTTTCAAATTTTATTCTAATGATTCTCATTGTTGCCAGTGGTTGTGATCGTAAGATACACATAAAATTCTAATGAAGGGAAATATATTTAAGAAAGGTAATATATTTAAGTAAGCTGCCTTTTGGGAATCATATTCAGGGCATTATTTCTAAGGCACTGAAAATAAGGGGTATGGTCTTGCGGACCTCTATGCAATTTTGATCTACTGTGAGTCTTTTGGTTCCCTGTCCAATACGTATTTGAACAATTATTGAATATGCATCACCAGTAAGTGTATATCAGCCCTTGAGAGTTCAACACAAACTCCATCAAATTTTGTCCATAGAATTGACCCCAGACAATCCCGTCGTTCCCTTACGATCTCTATTAAGTAATCTTCCTTGTAGAAGGAAGCGTGCTATGGTATTTTGACACCTGGAAATAATGCCTTTGAAGATTTTTTGTGTAATTTGTGAAATTTATGAGAAGATAATGTGAAATTTGTAAGCTTGTATTTACTTTTATTTCTGTTTTCCTACTAATTGCATCGTTGCATATTCATGTATACTAATTGCAGGCTCAGATCAACGAGAAGGGATATGGGGGGAAATCTCCCCTCCCCTTAAATTTTTAAGTAACTAATAATTTTAACTTGTCAAGCAACTTTTAAGCAAAAATATTATTGGATAATCATTTAAACAAATAAAATTTTATCGCAGCTCAAGTTGAATATAGCCTGCGACATTGTACTGTAATATGACGCATTTGTCCAAAACCTTTTGAATTTCCCCCTTCCTCTCTCCCCTCCTCTCTCCCCTCCTCTCTCCCTTCCTCTCTCCCTTCCTCTCTCCCTTCCTCTCTCCCTTCCTCTCTCCCCTCCTCTCTCTCTTCCTCTCTCTCTGTCCAGAATTTAGCATGTAATGTAGACACAGAATGCCAAGAAATGTTTAAAATATGCTTATGATGTGGCATATTAAGTTTTTTGCCATAAATCATTATACTCAACTATATCCTCTAAATGTAGATTAATATTAATGCAATATCATGTATAAAGAAGATTCGTGGAAGTCTTGAAGTTGAAGTGACTCCTCTGGGTGTTATAGAGGTTAGTGTAAGCCGGGAGTTCTAGCGTCAAGTAAGTGTCAATTTTTTGTTGTTGAAGGTGAAGAGGATGATCCAAGACTGCTCGTAAAAGCACAGCCATCTCGTTGGAATACAGCCTTAGTTATGCAGGAAGATGCTGCAGTGCAAGTGATTAGTGATTTACTGAATGCACTGACACGAGTGGTACTATGTTCAGAAAAAGCAGATGAACCTGAACCTGATAAAGAGAAACCTCCAACTAAGAAAAATGTTTACTGTTCTTACAATGTATTGCCAGTACATAACACCTTGATGCATCGATATCCTGGTGATCCTCTCCTTCCTGATGCTATTGAGGATCGTGAACAAGTAAGGATGTTTCACCAAAATGTAAGCATGTTTCATTTTTGCCATTATTATATTATTATTATTATAATAACATGACTACAACCAAAGGAACATATTTAGAAGTTAACTACTCAATCTGGTGTCTGCTGTGGGTTATAAAATGTGCCAGAACTGTGCAAGTGCTTCTTTGAAAGGTTCTTTTGGTAGTGGTCCTTATTTATTAGAGTAGATTTATGTTAAAGAAAACTTACACAGTGAGAGTTGGTTAAGCTATGATTGTTGCAGTTGCTAACTACATGAACAGCATTAATTAGCATGTCTGCACAAAAATTGGAACTATAACACTCTTTTCATGGTCTCTACAGAAAATAAACTGGACTTTTTTGTCAAAATTTGATGACCAGGAATAGTGTTTCACTTTTCCTTTTTTACCATTGACATACTTAGCATTTTTCTTCTGTATACTTTCTGTTTCTTTCATTTGCAAGTTCATGGAAGTAAAAACATTACTAAAACTTGTCAAAATTTGTTTCCTCAAAACTAATGGGTTTTCAGAAACTTTACTTTTTGTGTACTTTATTGTTATACTCTAATCCTGCAATTCTAGTCTAAATACTAGAAAGATGAGAAAATATTTGTTGATACAAGATATGTGCAGAGATAATATATGAATATATTATAGCATATGAATAACGTTAAACCTTCTCTTCTGCCATTAGTGGATTTCAAAAATCTATGATAATAACTAGAGTTGGGAAGTCTGTGCAAGCTTTTAACCCTGATATTTGCCGCAAACGTTTTGAAATTTACAAAGAAAAGTTTAAAAAGAGCAGCATTAGGATACAAAAAACTCTCTTTTTCTTTTTTTTCCCCTCTTTCTTTCTTTTGGAAGAACTTGTTGAACATTTCTGTACATTGCTCTGACTGCATAACTGTTCTCTAAATCAACTGATACTGAAATAAGATTGCAACATATCTTATGTTTAGGCTGGTTGTTAAAGAACGTCAGAGTTTCCATAAATTACCAATTACACACGGTGTCTTTTGAATGGTTTTGTCGACATCCAATAAGCATTGAAAGCCAAAACAATCACTTACTGTTGGAAAAGGTTCTAATAATAAGACCTAAATGATGTAGTAGTAACTCCTTACCTACACAAAGGAAAAGAGAGGGGAGGGGAGAAAAAAACAACTTTGCTGGGACCTGACATTTGTGTGTAACTCTTAAGAATATAGTATCTTAAAAAATAAGTTGACACTTTCTGTTCTCAGGATGCCTTCTGTTAAACAAGATCATTTTGTGTTTTAATAAAAGTTCTTTCCTCATCGGATAATGTGATAGGTGCATATTTGTGCTTTTAAACATTTGTGCTAAATGTATTATCTGAAAAGTACATCCACAGGAATGTACTTTGTCATTTGAGAATCATCTTTTCATTATCATTTATCTACTCTATATTTACTCAATGCCTCAAAAAATTTTACTTTGCCCTACCTGTCAGTTTCGTATTTGCATGTTTGAATTGTCAAGAAATTGTACGATTTTTTAAAGTTAATTTCTAATTTTCACTTTAAAAAGGTGATCCTTTAGCCAAAAATTGAAAAATATGCAAATAATTACATTTTCATGCCAGAACCTCTAAAATACGCATTATGTGCAAAACGTTTTCAAAGATATTTCAGGGTCAATATTTGGTCATGAAACAATTATTTTAAGTTTCTGACAGGTTAACGTTTAACAAAAAAAACGTGCTATTGCATGTGTTTGCCAACTTTAATGATAGCATTCATTGAGTAATTTTAGCTACTTTTCTCAATTAACTAAGGAATGGAATAAAACTCGTATCTTCACTTTCCTTCTTAAATAAACTGTTTATTGTCACAGTGAAAAACTCCTCATATCCAACCTTGGGAAATCATCCTCTGCCTCTCCCTTCGCCCTAGAATTCTCGATCCTTACACAATGCCCACTTTTGCACAACCTCAAAATTGTACTTCAATATGAAAAGGAAGATGAGCTCCCCACAAGCCAATTACAGCATTCCTGGATGGTGTTTGGGTGGGTACTTTTTGTGGCATGTTTATCAGATATCTTTTAGAGGCGTGATGGGGATCACTTTAAATGCCCTTTATCAAACAAAGCTGATAAAGTTAATAATATTTACATAACACCTTAATGTGTATATTCATATATAGTAAATATAGTCATGAGCGGGTGTATACAAGTGGTTATCAGTGGTATAGTTGTCAGAGTACAGTTGAGATTATTTACAACAGTGGATATTTTTAGCACTTACATTAGATTACCATTTCTTTTAATATAATGACAGGCTGTAGCCAAATCGCTGACTTGAAAATTGTGAAGTAATTTCAAAATGAAATGTGAAACTTTGTGTTATACGATTTGCTACAGGGTTGTCAAATGTTATAGTGTAAGTTATATGTATTTGAGTCAAAATTCCTCATAACTATAGATGTAAATGTAATTCCTTAAAAAGAAGGGCTACTAGTATTGCCTCAACAAATTTAAATATCACCTCTCATTGGAAAGAGATATTTGAGTATCCCGTTTAAAGCAATCATATTGCTCATGTGTAAGAGATGTTTGCTAACCACGCCAAGAACAGTCCCTACCTAGTGACCCAGCCAGGAATGTTTGTGATTGCCTGGGGGAAATCTCCTCTTTCTTTTCATTGTAATGTGAAAAATGCTGTAGTAAAATGTGTCCAATTTAACACATGCTGAAATGCACAGAACATATTGCTGTTCATGTAGTTGATACACAGGTTGGTGCAAAATAAATGTAATGATGTTAAGAAATGAAAGGGATCAATAATGATAACAATTTGTCAATGAACATTTGGTAGGATATATCATTTTTCGGAGTCATGTGTGACATATGGCATGTGGCATCGGACATCTGACATCAAGACCCTTGCATGATAGGCGTCTCTGAAATAGTCAGAAAAATACTGTTTTTTTTTAGGCATTACAATGTTAGCATAGGATCTGGGACATCAAAAAAATTGGACTTTCAAGTTGTGCGTAGGTACATAAATATACACAAAGAAAATTTTGTATGATGATTTTCCAGGTAAAGTTCTTTTTCAGTGCTTATCGACTATTCTGCATCTGTAGATATTGTGAGTGCTTTTATGTGGCGTACTTCAAGTAATCCTGAGTTTTCTCCCTATACCTTTTTAAGTGACAATGCCAAATTTTTTTATCTACGCCATTTGAAACTCCTGTAACAGCTCTTTATGGGCCTAGGAGAAAAAACACATTTTTTCTTAGTGGAAATCATGTGCATATATTAGACAGGAATAATTGGGTGTCATTAAATTTGGCTGTATACTTAGCCACATCCACTTAAATGCTTCCACATACCTTACATTTCTGCAGGAGTCACTGTCTACTGTCCTGAAGGATGTGCCGCTTGCTGTAAAGCATTGCATACGACTAGAATACGAAGGTGTACCGGAAATCTTTTCCTATCCATTAAGGAGTACCTGAAAGAATTATATGGTGATAAAATACTAGGCAAAGTGATCCTATTGCTTGGTTATAGGGGTCGTTAGATTTTCATCTCTAGATTGGGGGGGGGGGGACATGAAAGTTCTTCAATTAGAAACTGGTGATGCAGGAAGATCAAATGGCCAGAATTTCTGCCGCAGTCTACTGCCTTCAGACTGTGTGAGATACTTTTAAAAGGGTGTGTCAGAAAGTACACCACCATTACCATGCATTCATCAGACCTTCTGGCTACCACTGTAGATTTTTTGTTGTTGCCAAAGTTGAATAATAAAGAAAAAGAACTCAATGTTGTCATTGCTAGTAGGCAGGTTTACACTAATGGATGTATTAGGTGGAAGATAATTTGTTAATTATGTTAGGGTCTGGCAGTTTGTTCCTTGAGGGCTTGTATACTTGACAATCATCAGTGTAGGACGAGATGCCTAAAAAACAGACACAATGACGGAAATGTCACATGTGTAACTCAGTTAAATGAGATATCCCATAATATGTTCATTGTTAGGAAGGTTTATCTTCAACCATCCCGTAGAAGTTGTAACACATATTGTGCCAACTGTATTTAAGAATTCATACTTATATTAATATCTTCTCTGTATTATTAAGGGTATAGAAAAATGTTGTATGAACTTAATTCAGATCGAAATTAATTTGCATTGTTATTTGATTCTATTGCTAAATAATCTAAAACAACACCGAATATTATTAAAGCTCAATAAGCAAACCTTTAGAACGAGTTCACTTCGTCACTTTATTTTTTATCATATCTTGTGCTACTTCTATGGTAACATGACAGTGATATGATTCCACATGTCTATTATAACTAACATGACAAAACTCAGATATACTTGTAGTTTCTGTAAGCAACATACAAAAGGGTCATTCTATACAAAAACTTATGTTTGTATCTCAAAAACGTATGTTTGACATCTAAAAATTAAGAGAGATTGCAGTATGTTGTTTTCCATGCTGGCAATGTGAATCGGTCAAATAGTGAAATTGCATAGTCCATAGTAACTTAACAAAGTACATTTAAAATACTTGGTTCGCTGACTGCACAGCAGTGTTGATCATATTCTTTACCACACAAAAAAAGCATGTATTATTTATCTAAAAGAAGACTTTAAAGAGTAATTAGCACTAAAATTTTGTTTTTATTTTTATTTGTAAAATTAAATTAATAAACTACAAATTGTTTGGAGCAAAAAAACATTTTGATGTTAACAATTTTTTTCTTTAATTGCTCGATATTTATCCTTTTAACTGTAAAAATTTCGAAGACAAACTCCAAGAAACATGTTTGTTATGCTAGGGAAAGGGGGAGGGGGAGAATTTTTTTTAAAAAATTTGGTGAGGACTGAAAGTGAGTTTATTGACTACGAGATTTTGTGACAAGACATGGGTGTGATTTGATATTATCTGAGAGGAGCAAAGTGATCCTATTTACCTTGTTTAAATTTAATTGATTCATTTACGATAAAAATGTTAAGGAGAATAAAGATTATTTCATTACAGTTATTACTGTTACTATTACTATTACATTTGAGTTAAGCTTCCAGTAACCTCATAACCTTCATTAAGTGACCACATCTATTATTGGCCAATTTTTCCTGTGACAATAGGTGACCGCTCAAGCCAAGTTTCATTGTATTTTTATATGCATCTCTTTCCCCTCAAACAAACAGGGTTATTTAATCCAATTTCTTTTTGGTTATTGCTGCTCGTTTCTATAGCATGCCAGGAAAGTCTCTCCGCAGCGGCACCTTACTGGTGAGAGTGCTTGCAACAGAAATTATATTGGTAGATTGAGCTACAGTGCGAAACACTAAATTGCATACTCATCACAATCATAATAGATGATGTAAATGTTGTTCCTTCCTTTGTTTCCCAGTGATCTGGTTGCTAGCATCATAATGCAAATTTTAATAGGAGGCCCTAATTCGGCTCAGTGCGGAGGCACTTTCCTGGTGCACTGTATTTCGGTTACATATACTACTAAATAGAGAACTTGAGATTAAGGCTAATAACTTTAATGTGAATTTTACATTGTGTAAGAATTTAATTTTGGGAAATTTATAATAATAATTTTCTTTCTTTTTCAGAATGATACATCTAACAATTCACAGAAAACTAGTAAAGATGAAGAAGGAGAACATTCAGTTCAAGCACCTCAAAGAAATGATGGGGAGAAAAGTGGGCCACTGATGCCCAAGTCATCAATACTGAAGATTTTGGCTGATGCTGTCAGATCTTATTCAGCTTGTGCTAAACTTATTATAGATCATACATATACAGCAGGAATGAGTGAATTAGTGATTGAAGTAAGTTTTGTATTGGCATTTTATTAAAGATTCTTGAATTTTGTATGGACGTTGTTAATTGTAAATGTGTTTTTGCAGGATTGTACTGCTTTGGCATTCATACTTGACAAGTTAATTCCTGTCAATGAAAATCAGTATGATAGGGAGTGTCAAAGTACTGCACGTATGCTTATTTCTGCAATTGCATCATGTAATCACACTCCAGAAGCACAGACAACCCTTGTGTGTGAGGTAATGTAATTGCACAATATCTATCTGGTATTGGGTTCATTTTCTATCATTCTCATTGAAAATGTTGTTTTCAGCTGAAAGCAGCTTTGTTGCGTAGTTTAGCAATGCCTGAATCTGTTGAAAAACATACACGCATTGCAAACTTGTCAGCAATAATTTTACATACAATTGAGAATTGTCCGCCATTGGTTAACCAACCACAAACACCATCAATGAAATTGCATCAGTATAGGTATGTTAATAAGTATGCACATTCACGTATAATTGATCATTAATATTATATGTTAATATTATTTGTTTGTGAAAAGGTACTGTTTGATGGAATCTGTATATTTTTCTTCCTTTTTTCAGTAATAATGTCAACAACATTGTTAAAGTAATGCTTCGGAAAGGCCTCCTCACAGATTTAGCAAGAATAGCTCATTATATGGACCTTTCGAGCCCTCACGTTGTAAATTCAATCAATGCTGTTCTTAAACCCTTAGAAACCCTATCCAGGATAGTAAATCAACCATCTACAACACCACCGTCCAAAGCTGGCAAAGCTAAACCTCAGGTTCATGCTAATGGTTCTGCTGAGCACACTGGTATGTTTTATAAATGGGCATTTAAAAGTAGATAAGGGTTGATTTGGAAGAAAAAGAAGGAAATACTTGTAGATCAGTTGCTTAATTTTCAGAACTTTATTAATTTTTTTTATTTTTCCCTCCTTTTCCATTTTTAATTAGGCACTACAACCTCAGAAGCCACTCATGCTCAAGGTGAGGAAACTGTTGAAGACGCTGAAAACACTGATCATGACATATCTGGTACAGCTGAAAGTCTTGAACCAACATCTGAAAGTCAGGTGCAAGAAGATGTTGTTGATGATGCAGTTCTAGATGATGTCATGGATCAGCTATTGGAAAGGTAATGACATTTGTACTTCTATAATTCCTTTTTTTTTTTTTTATACCAGAAGTAAGTTAATGCAGGAGGTATTGATCTTCAATTTTTCCATTTCATAATTAAAATATTCAACTAGTTTCATTAAATGAAGGCCACCTTCAGTGCGAACTTCATAACAACCTATTTACTTCAAATTCTTCATAGTAAATATTCTCCAAAATTAATAATTTAATATGATGTTCATTACTATGTTACACATGACTGGTGGAAAAACAAAAACTAGCACGCTCCTATTAATATTAGCAATAAATAATTCCTCCCATTAATTTGTCTCCAGAGGCGCAAATGCCTGTTAAAATTATTAAGTGATACTTTCAAATTCTGTTCTAACATGCATCTCATCAAAACACCACTTGGGGGAGAGAAAAAAGCCCCCCCCCCCCAAAAAAAAAAAAGTTTATCAATGCAATACAACTATTTCCTGAGATGCAAAGTGATCTTGATGAGCTGTGGGACATCATTTGTACACCTGGGAGCTCACATTGCAGTTTTTGAACTTCAGTGGTAGGTGACTCAGACAGAACTTAGTCACGTACCCATTCAATAGATCACATAGCCATTTACTTCCCAGTTCAATCAATGAATATTCTGACATTTTTCTTTGTTTGCAATCAAAGAAAGTAGAGTTTCTCTACAGTGATACTTGGCAGAGCACTGAGGCGGATACTGATTAATACAATACAAACTAATACTGATGCAATTCATCATAAGAACAAACTTCTGGAGTTTTCTGAGAGATTTTGGAATTAAACTGCATTTTACTAATGAAGCATTTCTCAGAGAATGACCTCAGGAATATTTGTTTATATCATTATTCAGAGCTCCCTAGAGTGTGCACATTCTGTAGTAGCCAAAATGAGCAACCAGTATGCGTTAATAAAACATTCCTTACTTAAGTGTCCTATAATTGAAATTCCCCAATTTGCATCTAAACATATGTATAATATCTCATCTAAATCTGATTTTTAAATTTTGTTTTGTTTTAAAAATGTAAAATTCAATTCAGTCTAATCCATTTATTAAATGGTGTTTTTTAAATTAACGTTATGTTCTACTATGATTCCTAATATTTATTAAATTTAAATTTAATAATATTATTTTCAAATCTACCAATATATAGTGCTTTTTGAAAGATTTTCAGAATCTGAATTGCAATTATCAGTGCAAAGCAAATTTATACCAACATTTCTTTTCCTCTTTGTTATTGTTTATGTATTTTAATTTTATTTATCTATTTAAGCTTAACAGGAATAAGACTGATTACATTCAAAATATTTTATATAATTTCAGAATTTTTAACTTCTGTAGGTTTTCTATTTTTTAAACAATTTTGTTGATGAATGCGCCTATAAATACTGACTTTACTACAGTCACAATATCTTAGTGTTTTGCTTCAATTTTTATTATGAAGAGATACCTGACAGTGTGTTTTCTTCAATGGGCCAAGTTTTTTGTCAAAAGCGTCCATGGCCAAAATCATGTGAATAATCTTTCTGTCAGAGTAACACTGTGTCAAAGGCAAGCCTGTGATGCCTTGACCTGGTGTCACCCAGACAGCCAAGATCATTTGCAAGTTTTTTTTTCTTTTTTGTTTTTTTTTTTTCGTATGACTGGTTGAATTGTCTTTCTTAATGAAGTATTCTGCATTTTGATTAAAGAATAGAGGTATTTTATATTATTAACACTACAATTTTTTTTCATTGTACAAAAAAATAGAAATTTGGAAGCTAAATCTGAAGAACATTAATTCAGCAATTTTGAAATTGTGTTACAAAACCAACCAAACAAACAAACAAACAAACAAACAAACAAACAAATCGTGAAAATACATTAAATTATTTAGAGAAAAGTGTTTTAGAAGATTTGGTTATTTTATTATCCACTTGCTGAAAATCCTTCAGAAACACACTAATGTTAATAATGAGTGTTTTTCAGAGATGGTGTTGGAAGCAATGAAGAAAATATTTTGAATGCTAGTTTCACAGTTGAGCCGGAACCTCAAAGTAATCGTATGGAAACTGATGATGTTCATACCCCACCTATTAGAAATCAGTCATCACTGCCGTATGGGAATGAAGATGATGATACGCAGGATGTTGACAGAGTACAAAGCAGTGATTCTGATTCTGGGTCAAATCCTTCTGATGATCCTGATGAGGAAGTAAATAATGTTGATGAGGATGATGACGACGATGATGAAGAAGAAGAGGACGAAGAGGGTAAAAATTAAAATATCATTTCAAATGTTTCTACCAAATGGAAGTGTATGCTCATATTAGACCTTCCTAGGTGATGATAATGAAGACGAAGAAGGAGGGTCAGGATATGATGAAGATGGACTTGAATTCTTTGAGTCGGACGATGGATTGTTCCGCATCCCAGGACTCGATAGAGAGAATGAAGATATCTTGATGATTCAGTATTCAGATCCTGATCTTTCAGGACCTGGTCCTCATGTCCCATGGAACAGTAATAGCTTTCCAATTCCCTTGGGAATTTTTGAGGACCCAGGAAATGGAAATGAAGCTACTGGTAAGAAGATAATTTAGTATAATTGTTCAATTGTACCTCCCATCACCTTACCTTGTGATGAATATCGTGACATACATTCAATAATAAAAAATTTCCTCTTTCTTAAATTTTTCTAGCAGTTAATAGGCTTACACCTAACCACCCACTGCTGACTGCACGCCATCCCTCAGATACAAATAATTTAACAGGTCCTAGAGCTCAAAGAGGAAATCGACCACGTCGGTATCAGTATCTTCAGCTGAATGGAAGAAGCCCTAATCCTCCCGTCATTTTACAAAGGTATGGTTGTTAATTAGTGAAATAATATGAATCATCTGGTGGTTTCAAGTACAGTTGAATGAAAAGTGTGGCTTTGTACACGTCCCACACTTCAGTCACCTGTGAAAAGAGGACGAATAAGTAGTTTTCATATGGAATATCTTGTTTCTCACTAACACATTTTGAACACATTGGTGATTTTTCTAGATAAATGCAAAAGTCTCACAAAATCCATTACATGCTTTCAAAAATTTACACATCTTGATTTGAATCATAAATGGTGTGCGAAGTTATTCAAACTTGTACACAGTTCTTATACTTATCCAATTGAAATCAAATATTTGTATTAAAAAAGCCGAATTGTAAAGTTTTCATTATTTCACATTCTCATCATTAATTATTTTTTTGTGATGTGTTAAATGTAGGCTTTTGTGTACGTAGCCCATTGGGAACATTAAATCACAATTCTTTGATTAGATAGACATTTATATAATTATTCCTAAGTTTGAGTGAAAGTTCAATTTTGCTTACTACACTCAAATATGTAAGAGAATTTGCTCTCTTCTGGTAATGTGTGGGATACTTGGAGGAGAGGACTGGGAAGTAGTCACCTAGATATCCATTACCTATGATATTTACCGATTATTCAACACCTATGATTACATGAAATTTCACCTTATGTCTTAGAAGAGCATTGGTCAAGCTACTGGCTTTGCTGAATTTGTACTGGAGATTTAGAATGACTCCTTGAGAGAGCAGGGGGAAACACACAGAAACAAAGGAAATGATATGAAGGCATGGGGGAATAAGTCCAATTTTTATGAATTCTGGATTAAAATGCCATCTGTTAGATCAATAGTTAAAGTTCATTTTGATACAGCCAGAATCACATAAAATGTGGAAAATTCAGAGAGATTCACAATTGAAGATGGAAGACTAATGAGAGTCCCAGTATTTGATGAAAAACTGATGAGTGTCCATGCATTATTTTCTAAGAATTGGTCAGTTAGTAATCTGATTATTTATTTTCTTTGTACTCCATATTGCAATGTAATTTAGTGTGAGAGGGTAAAATGGATCTTGAGAGCAATCCAGAATTAACTGAAAGTGCAAGGAATAGAAGATCTTCAGAATATAAAGATACAATTACATACAAGATTAACTTTCCGTTATTATATATACCTTTGGCATTTTAAAAATTTTCATGTGTTGTTTTCTCTGAGGCTTAAATGTCAATATTTTTATTAAGACATTATATTAGATGGATATTTATCAATATTCTGAATTTTTTGTATTCATTAAAGGCTAATTGTTATCATTACTCCATTGTTGAAACAAATAAAATTATAAGCCATAATGTTTGCGTTTCAAGAAGGAAAAAGTACTGATGATGCTATTGTCTATGTAACTAACGAAATCAGTAAATTCATAGATAAAAAAATATCCCATGTATATCAGTCTTTATTGACTTGGCAAAAGCACTTGACACCATAAACCATGAGGTCTTATTTAAAAAAACTGACAAATTATGGATTCAGGGGGTTGTCTGCAAATTAATCAAAAGCTGTTTAACAAACAGAACACAGTATGTGAAAATTGATGGTGAATGTCGTGAGAATTTGACAGTGAAATGTGGGGTGCCTCAAGGTAATATTTTAGGACTGCTTTTATTTATATTATGTATAAATGATGTTTTTTAAAACTTTGCCTAAAGGTGATTTAATTTCTTATGCTGATGACACAAGTATAATTGTTAAAAGTAAATCTTGGAAAGATGCGATTACTCAAGCTGAAATTAATTTGTCATCAATAGCAAAATGGCTAAGTCAGAACTTCTTTAGTTTAAATTTAAGAAAAACTGTATTTATAACTTTTGGTAGTTATCTGGATAGTATGCCAAGTCATGTAACATGAAACTGCATAATGCAAACTGTTATAACTTGGGCTGTAATTGTATAAATATATTGTGAGCTGAAGATACTAAATATGTAGGAGTTTATGTTGACCATAACTTGAAATGGAAATATCATGTGCCGCATATAACGCAATAAAGTAGATATCTTATATATGATTTGACAAACTCTGATCGATTCTTGAAACTAAACAACGGCTAATTATGTACTATGCTTTATTTTCATCAATTATAACTGACAGTATAGTAGCATGAGGCAGAGTATACGAATCTATTATTAATCTACCTTGAATTAACATTCAAAAAAGGGATTATTACAATTATTCATAAAAAAATAATAGCATACCCCCACAGAATCTTTATATGAAGAAACCAATATAATAGAAATAGAGCATTACTTTAATGAAAAATGTATATTACATAATTATGCGTGGCTTCAAGATTAATATTTAAGAATGATTAAAATCAAAGATTACCTAATATACAATACCAAAGCCTTGTGCCTGAAAAGACATAATGTAGTTGGAATTAAAGTATTTGATGCGTTAACTGATAACTTAAAAAACTTCTATTGTATAAAAGTTCAAAAAGTTACAAAAGACTGAGTTTTTTTTATTCATCTGGACAGAATATTATAAATTCATTTTCTCGTATTTACAGTAGCTTCCTACATCTTTTCATTTTTCTCTAATAGTTTCTGTTTTTCCACATGAACTTCAAATTTTATATTCTTTTATTCAGGGTTTTTCCCCCCTCTTCATTTTATGTTAAGTGTGATAAAGGACATGTTACTATTTACTGAAAAGTTTTGTAATACATTTTTTCAGGTATAGCCTCCTACAGCGTGTTCTGTATATGGGGGAAAATACGCTTATTTTAGAATGAGAAGGAGTGAAATTGTGAAGGAGGACGATGTAAAATAAATGATTGTGATGTTACCTCTCTTAGGAATGTATCACATGAGCGTTAAGTTAGGAATGTATCACAGCGCGTCACCTAACGCTGATGACTGCAAACGTCACGTAACGCTCGCCTTAGATTAACACTATCTTATGCGAAAGGACACACGAACGCTCTTAGCGACGTGCGTTGTGCCCACAGCTGAAGCAGGACATGCAAGCTACAACAAAAGTCAAGAAGTTTTTCTAGCTTTACACGCACGATAAGCGTTGGCAACAACGCACGTCACCAAGAGCGCTCGTGTGTCGTTTCGCATAAGATAATGTTAACCCACCACACGTTTTAAGTGACTCGTGTGCGTAGGTATCGGCGTTTTCAGCGTTAGGTGACGTGCGTCGATGCCTACCCAACGCAACGCTTGTGTGACACAGACCTTATATTCTTCTACCAATGCATATTATCCTTTTTTGCAAAGTTTTTAAACCTCTGTAATGCTAATGAATGAGAATAAAATTCATGTGGTGTGAAAGTGCAGGGGCAGTGCCCATTTTGCGCAATGCGCAGTGCTTTCCAGGTGGTGTTGTGGCAAGTAGGCTGTTGTAAATTGCGGGGAAAATTAAAATTGTACCATCGCAAATGAGGGGTATTTATATATAACAATATGAATATATGGAAACTGATGGGACTGACAAGAAATGTTATAAAGGTGGGAAAACATAAATTGCGGGAACGTAAAAGTGGGATTTTACTGTATATAATTGTTTATGTATATCGAAGAACTGATGATATCAAACATATCAACTCACTCATACTAAGATCTAAAATATCTAGATTTTGATTATTTTAAAATTTTGCAAGTTCTAAAGAAAATGTTCTTTGATGTATAAAGTTTAGAATAATTACACAGGAAAAAAGATTTCATATGTCTAGTAGATCTTTAGGGACAGAAACAAGTTAACTAAATAATAGTGGGCAATCTATGGATATTGTTGTAAAACAGGAGGTGCTAGAAGGCAAATATTGCCAGAAACAGGAGGTAATGTTTTCCTTTTAGAATTTTTATTTGAACTTGAAAACAATCCGAAAGCTATTGGAAAAATGAAAAAATTAGCTTGATTGGGATAAAATCACCAAAAAGGTATTTTAATTTTCAAGTTCTCTTGAGTATGTTCAAGGTAAACAGTAAGTGGGATCCCTATTCCCTGTATTTGATTTTGATCTGTGAAATGGTATATTCTAGCAAAAAAGGTAATTTAAAGGAATGGAAGGTGATAAAATGACTTACAATAGTTTCTATTCCAAAAAGCTTTGGAGTTATTTATTAGTGAAAACAGAACATTCTCAAAAAATGCTTTGTTGTGTCTCATTTTTCGACAAACTTTGCCTTCTGGAACCTCAGCACTTTTCCACAATAAAGTAGTTGAATGTGTAGAAAATTAAATTTTCTTAAAATTTATTATGTATTGTCCAAATTTTAGATCTTCAAAATCTAAAGTTACTGTTTTTGGAATTTTGTATCAGATTATTTATGTGTTTGACTGCCTTGACCATATAGCAATGTTTCAGGAGATATTTTTTAGTTTATTTTACAATTGATCCACAGAAAAATTACACTTTGGCCCAATGACAAAAGAAAATATGAAATTCCCTTGCCCTGTGGGTTTCATGGTTTGCTCATTTTATTTTTGTGATTGTGATTAAAATTAAATTATTGTCATGTTTGCAGGCTTCTGGGTCCAGGCAACCATGACCTCTCGATCACCACTAACCAAGCTGGTTATCGAGATGCTACTAGGGTTGTAGTGATGGATAATGGAATGGGATTATTTGCCAACACCAATTCAGAAGAAGAGCAAATTGATTTTGTTGTAAGTCTTGTTTTCAATTTCTTTTAACAATATTTTGTCAAATTTACTTGGTCTATTGTTGTCATTGAGCAAATAAAAGTAAGTAGAACTTGGTTATAAGAGGTGTCTGGAAACACCTTTTACATAGTACAAATACAAATTCAAAAAGAATGAAGAGAAAAGCCTTTGAGGAAACAAACAAAATATGAAAAATTTCACATATGCAGAAAGTAGTACAAACATAAGCTTGAAAAAAAGAGGAAAAATAAGTAAATACCAGCTTACAAATTCCAAATAATCGAAACTAATTAAGATGTTTATTCAAAAAAAACTTCGTAAGGAATTATTTCCAGTTGTCATAATAACATATTCAGAGCCCAAGCTATTCGCCAAGTTACAAATGTGATTCATCGACTCCTTATCGCAATAGTTACTCACAGACGTGTCAACTAAAAAGGAAGTTCTCCTAAAGATTCGCTTTGGTACTCTAAACGATATGCAAGAAAGAATGTCTGCGTAGTCTATTCTATCCAACAAAATATCATGTAGGAAATTAGTATCAGCACACTTTCTTCTACAATAAAGATTATTTAATTTAGATCTTAGGGGAATGAGATCATAGTCATGATTGTCTGGGCCCTTTGTCAGGTCAATTCTATGGGCCAAAATTCTTAGGAACTCTTGTTGAAGTCTTTCGATGGCTCCAAACAAGCAATGCATATTCAAGATTTGGCCTAACAAGTGAACCAAAATGGTTACATCACATCAGAACTGCATAGAGGTCTACCCCCATATTTTCTGTGCCTTAGAAATAACTTTCTGAACATGATTCCTAAAGCATACCATTCAGCTTACTATCAAACATGACACCCAGGTCACTTATATAATCAACTGTTCTCAGTTTCATCTTCAATTTTATAACCTGCTCCTTTTTGTAGTAAATGATGTAACAAAGCATTTTCCCACATTTAGCCTCAGTAATGTCATGAAATTAAAATTTGTATTGGCCTAGCTGCTCAATAATGATTTTCACTGTATATAAATCTTCTACTTTTTCTATTATGGCTGTTTTTTAACATGGCAAGGTGGTGGGAAAGTGCAGTGATTGTGCCTGTGTGCGCAATGCGATTTGTATTCCAGATGGTGTTGTGGCGAGCAGACTGATGTAAATTAGGGGGAAATTGAAAATATACTGTCATAAATGCAGGGTATTTATAACATTAGGAATATACAAAAACTAATGGGAAAGAAATGTTGTAAATGCCATGGAAATGTAAATTGTGAGAACATAAAAAGTAGGGTTTTACTGTAGTTACCAAAATTAGTAATGTTGACTTTAGTGTCAATAAGAAGCCTGAATAGTTCCTTCTTATTATGTTCTGTTGTTAGTTTGAATATCAGAAAGTGGATAAAAGACTAGAATGTCCTCAATTGTATTTCTGCAGTATTAGTTTGGTAAATTTCTCAAAATATTTTAATGGATTGTGTGATTTGGTAGGACCAATCTGGATACTTATTTGGACCAAGTTTAACTGCAACACTTGGCAACATTCCTACTGCTTTGTGGTGGTGGTGCGAAGAAGGAAAGTTGCTTGATGGTGATTCACAGCCAGACTGTGTTGTAGGTAAGTGCATGGTATTTGTGAGGACATTCAAAAGTTTGCTTTGTTTTGTACACATTTTCTTATAATCTTTACGTTTGTGTTTAGCAAATGCAAGCAAAGTAATTGAAGTGCTGGAAATAACAAAGGCTGAAGAAATTGCTTTGAGAAGAGAGAGATTTCGCAAAAGAATGGAAGAGGAAGAATCAAAAAAAAGAAAAGAAGAGAAGAAAATTTCCACAGAAGGTAAGATCGTAACCTCCCCTCCTTGCTACCCTCACCATTATTCTCTCCCTCCCCCTCTTCCATTCTCTGCATTCTGAATTCAACTTGTATACAAGACAGGGTAGGGATCCCAGTATTGAAGAAAACGTACACAGAATTCACTTCCCCCATGGTACGTTACATAGTTTTTAACATTAAATTAGTGTGCGAGAGCAGTTGAGTTCAAATTACAAGTTAAAATGTTAAACTTTTTGGAAACTTATAGAATCTGTATTTAATCCTTTTATGATTGTGTCAGGACATGAGATATTCTTAAAAAAGTATGTTTTCCCGTCTTGTTTAATGATTATAAGGGTCAAAATGTGATAAAAGTGCCTGAAAAATATTCTTATAGTCTATAGAAAATCGCAAGAACGATTAAAGTTTGGTATTCAAAGGCACTATGTGATTAAAAAAATTAAATTAATATAAGAAGTTCTTTTTCATTTGTGTGAAATACTCTGTGCAAATTGATTTAAATGCAACGAGAAACTTAATATTTTTTTTATTTCTGGAGGTGCCTTTTGCCTACCTTATTCTGTTACCCCATTTCAATTGTTCCACCCAAGTTAATGCAAGGTGTCAACACTTTTTTCGACAAACTTTGGACCCGTTAGCTTGTTCAGAGTTGTAGAAAAGGCTATGAAAAGAATTATAATTCAGAAAAATTATGCCTTACAAACTAACATTATATCCAAACAAGAGCACAGGAAAAATGGAAATTTGGAGATTACATCCAGCCTAGATCTTACAATACCCGACTGGAAAATTAGAAAATTCGAGCAGGAGAAACTTCATAATTCTCAAGATTGGTAACAATTTGTGTATCTCAAAGATCTGTTCTAGATCCACTTCTGTTCATGTTATACACCAGTGATGTGTGAATATGAAATCATCACTGGTTTTAGTAGGCAAGCATGACAAATAAGTTGCTGTGACTACTAATAAATCTCTTAATATATCTCATTTGGAAGGCTTTCTCGGTTTTCAACAGAACATTGATGCAGCAAATTAACACAATGTACATATAACCAATTATGCATGTGATAAAAGTCTAGTTCCTTTATCCAAAAGACTAAAAATTTAACTTTATCAAGATCTACATTATTTACAGTATGATGGGAGATGTCAGAAAGTTGATGTCAAGATATTGTGTTAGAAGAGAGGGTACTTAATACAAACTACATAATTTTGAAAGACTTATGATGGTCAGGATTTTAATAAATTGTCCATTTGACATGGAAACATAAAATAGAGAGGCCATGCCCTGAAGCTGTAGGAGCAGAAATCTAACATCTGCCGCCAAGTACATCTCTTCACAAATTGTATGGTGAACTTGAGGAATAAATATCCACAAAATTGCATTGAAAGCAAAACTATAATGGATCTTCCAATATATGCCTAGTTGCTTTGAGGCTAAATATACAGACACTAGTTCAATTTGGCTGTTTTTCTTTTTCTTTCTTTTCAAAATGGCTGTTTGTCTGCCCAACTGTGCACAAAACTAGGGCCAAAACTACAAGTATTCCTACAATGTTATCGAAAATGAATATTCACTGGTCACTGTGAACAGTCTAAAAGCTTTACAATTTCGAAAAATATTGTTTGTAATTTGGGGTTACTTTAAACGACACATTTTATATTTTCTCAAAAATGTCTCGAAAATGTCTTATGATTTGTGACTTCTGACTGTGACAGACTTCAAATTTATTGCAAGAATAGGTTAAAATATGTTTTCAAGGTGGCATAGGTTCGATGTTTACTGTTAACTTTGATTTTTTGAAGGTTATAAATGTTTTAATTTTTCTCAGCGTCTCCTCACAACTACAATATTGAAGGAATTTTTCCCTTTTTTTTTCTTTAATTGACGTCTTGCACATTTCTTTGAAAATTTTAGTTGCTTTCGTGTAATATTGCATGAAATATGTGCATCACAATAAATACTAAAAATCAGAATTACTCCAAAACTGTTCCAAATCTTTGTTCAAACTTTTGGTAGGGATGTTACTTATTGTCCTGTGTAATATTACATAAATGCTGCATTGCTTTATTCTTTTTTATTTTTCAAAACTTACACAATTCTTTTTTGACATTTCTCTTGCGTCCTTAATATTTACAGTATCATCAACTTGTATACATTATTGCGTTTGTTTAATTAATGTCTCGTAAATAGAAACTGGAAAAATATGTAGTATGAAATGTCAAATTATGTATATAAATACGTAATGAAAACTGTAAGAATATGTTATGAATGTGTAAAATAGGATGAAATGTGTAATATTAAAATACACAATTATAAAACAAACATATAATATGAAATTAATTTATAAAAACTACAATATAAATTTTAAAGCCGGTACAAATGTTATAAAAAAAATTTGAAGAGTACAAATTGATCCATGCTTTGTACCATACAACTTTCTCGTCAGTTGTAAAACCTTCATCTTCATTTGGCAGCCAGACTAGATGCAATAGAAACCATCCTGCAAGCTGGCAATATCTACGATCAGCAAACTAATATTGCAGTGTGCAGCATTCTCAGCAGAGAGTTACATGTCGACGATCGGCAAAGTTTCTTGGAAATTAGGGGTGAAGTTCACGAGATGCAGCATCAGTGATAGTTCCCACACCTGAAGGGAAAACTGATCTCTGTCACTGACGTGCACTTCCTGCCACTGTGATAACTGATGCAGACGAGCAGGACTGAGAGAACATCCTACCACATCTTCATGTAACGAACCTCAAGTAGACAGCATGCAGTAACGACGTGGAAAATAAGTGTTTTTTAATACTTTTCATAAAATTCAAGAAAATTGATGGAATAAAAAAATATTTTGTGAAAATAGTAAAATGTTTAATATAGTACTAAATATGTAAAAATATGTGACAAAAAATGTTGATATTATGTTAGAATGGGAAGGATTTGCCAAAATTAAAATTTTTAGATCAGTAAGTAGAAAGACAAAAAATATGTAATTACATAAAAGTCTGGTCTCTACTCATTAAGTTCCTCCAAAACGAAAAAGTATTCTGAGAAATTGAGCTCAAGGTTCTGCATTTTCAGATACTCAAACTTTCGTTTCTTTAACTTTTCAAACAACTTCAACAAAAATGTACGTTTGGGGAGGTTTTGTATTTCTATAGTATTCTTAGTCATGTTTCAGTTCTATTATGAGGGATTTGTAAAATTGAAAAAAATGTGAAAAAAATTATCTTCAGGTGGCAATGGATGGCAGCTGGGAAAAGGTTGGAGTATAACTGAAAATATAGTCCAGAGCAAGGAAATAAGGAAACAAACTAGTTCGAGAAAGTCTGCAGCATCACTAGTTTATTTTATTTCACAAATCACACTACTGGTGGTATAATTGGGGCAGATGTTCTTGTATCCTCTATAACCAAAGTATAGAACTGAATTTATGAAAAATTGTTTCCCAATAATTTCGATTTTTACCTGGTCATCCTTCGAATACTGAGGTTTTGGTCAAGAATGATCAGTAGTAGCAATAGCAGAGCTGGAGTGGGAAGTATAAAGAGAAAAAGGGCTGCGAGCAAGCGAGCCAGTCAGTTTTAGGCAACTTGGTAAAGGCATTCGCAAAGTTGTCTATTTGCAAACTACAGTTTCAGTGGCACATCGGATTTGGAATTCTTGGACCACCTCCTCACGAGGTCCGTGAAATTATAATGTGATAGAAATGTTTAAAAAACTTGGAATTAAACTCGAAATTTTTCGCTTTTTTAAAATTTATTTTTTTTTGTTGCTAATTTGTTATGCAAAAAAAATTGTCGCTCTTGACCCTGCTATAAACAATTGGCAAACTGGACATCAAGTTAGTAGGAAATACCAGAAAACTAAGAAATTACAAAGATAAATAAAAAAATTATTACATGGGAATTTGTTGATTTTTTGTTGTCTGGTATTACCAGAATATAAATTTTGTTGCTCTTCATATACCATCTAGTACTGGAACTGCAAAATTTCGCCAAAATGCCGGAAATGCGAAATTTGTCCTCTTTGCGGCAGGTGATGGTGAAGGGAATGACTGTCTGTCGCATATAGGTACCACGGAACAATAACCTACACCGTGGTTTGACTACCATGGTGGCCAGGTAGAAATAAGTGTGCAGAATAAATAAAAACTTTTGGTCTCGCATAAAAGGATGAAGATTCACATCTGTTATAATTGTAGATCAGAAGATTTTGAAGTGATAAGTTTCATGAATTATAAAAAGGATGAGCATATACATTTTACTTTAATTTTTCTTCAATAAGTCGGGATCTTATTACAACAGAGCCCTTTAATTGTGTTCCTATCATGCATGCCATTTGCGCGAAGAGCCGCTGCGAATGATTGGGGCTTGCAGGTGCTAAGAAGGGATTCTCACAACCATTGCTTTTCTGTGGCACGCCATTTTTAATCAATAGACCTCTTTCTCTAAATGCAATTTTCCAATCATTTATACTACCTACTCTAGAATACGGAAGTTTGGATTGGAATCCATGCCTGGTAAAGGATTTAGATCTCCTGGAGAGAACATGGAGAAAAGTCACATGACTCCCAGTTAGTTAGGGAAGTTTTTCATATGAATGCAGACTACTAGAAATGACAATTACCCGCCAACAGCAGATTAATAGAAACCTTTAAAATTATAAAATACTACTACTAAGTCACAGAAGTCATACGTTTTTCTATATTTTAATTACATTCTTTTGATGTTCCACAATTTAAACTTGTACTGTAAGTAATGGATGTAATGTGTATACATCAATTTATAAAAAGTGTTCATGTGACACTACTTTGATGTCAAGTGTATAGTAATTTTCTCAGGATACAAAGCATTCTCAATTATGAAATATTTTTAATAGATACATTTAAATATATTTAATATGTGTATAATTTAATTTACTCATGTTTTTGTAAAAATTGAGAAAGGAATAATAAATTAAAGACTTAATAAGGTAGTTGTCTTGTAACAGGGGCCAC